TGTGCTATTAACATACAGTTTCTGTGTTCAGTACCTCACTACCACGTGTCTGAGGGGCTTAATACACTCCAATGCTGGTGTGTCCTCCCAGTTCTAATCCCTGAAAGACAGAAAAACCAGGCAGTGACACTTAGAAGTAGGCCAGTAAAAAAACATATTTTCTTCTTTCTACAAAGAACTGACCACTCAAAATGGCCACCTCTCTTTTTTTCTAATAATTCAAAACATAGAAATAGGGCTGACTCGGCTATTTTGAACAGGGAACTAAAAGGCAATTGGGGGCGTGGGAAGAAAGAAGATATAGCCTCTGTAGGTGGTACTGTTTCCAACTCTACACACCAGTGCAGAACTTCTGCTGAAAAAAAGAAGTTTGGCAGTAGCATGCACAGGAAAATTGCCAGACCTGGAACACTGCTGCTTCAGGGAAATAGAAACTGATAAGCAATTCACTGAAGAATAAGTGAGGGGAATGGATCAGTAGTAGTTTTCAACTCAATTTGCCATTTATGAGAGTACTAGGAATCTGAAGAAAGTCTATCCCTACCAAGGAAAAGGAGCCAAATTGCAATTAAGATTAACTTTGGTTATAAGGAAGGAAGGACCATGCTTTTCATCATCAATTGCATCTCTTTGGTAGCAAATAATTCCACCTGTAATCATGGCAGCAACTTAAGTATTGCCAATGTTTTCAAATGTGTGAGAGCATTAAGGCATCCACATCTGAGGAGGCAGTTTTAAATAAGAGGAAAACAGAACTGAAATATGCCAATAAGTAACTGTTGATATGGCCTCTCCTGGGACAATGCCCACCACAAGCAAGTTCTTCCCTCAGTGTAGGAAGCCTCTGCCATGCTGCTCAGTTCCCTGCTGCCTGAAGATGCATTTGAGCCCTATGAAGTTAGTATGGCTATTTCTGCCTGCTGATCAGGAGAGAAATGAGTAGTTCCTGATGCAGCAGCTTTAAAATCTGGGAAAGCCCATAGCTTCTGAGAGCTGATAGGCCTTGGAAGGTTTGCCTGTTAATGTGAAGTCCAGAGGGGAAGGCAAATTTGGAAATTAGATGGTTCAATCCTTGCCAGAGTTCAAAGCCCTACCCAGCAAGATATTCTAGCTAAACTTGTAAGTGTGATGTCAAGGCACTGCTGTAAGAGGCTTTGGCCAGCAGAAAAATTTCTCATCATTGCACACAACAATATGATAGAAAGTGCTACTATCCAAACCAAACCAGACTGACATTAAAATGTGCTTTTCATTTATCAAAGTAAATTTCCAGGGAGAATCAAAGCAACAACGTCACTTTGAAGGACCAGATGAAACCCCGTGACTCTCATAAGTCAGAGTTGTTATCAGGAAAGTCACTGATACTTTCTATACTGTACCTTCTGTTGGTTTTAATATTGTATGCAATGACTGCCAGCCACTATACAAAACCAAATCTTATTTATGCTACTTTGGTCTACAGCCAGTAGAGGGCGCTCAAGTTCTATTTCCACAGCTGCTGACTCAGTGACAAATCTAGAAAGAAAATAAAGAAATCACAGGCATGCTGGCATATGCATCATATAAAACATTTTACAAACTCCTAAATCCACTGCCCTGAAGAAGTCTTGGTTCTCTCTCTGTGTACTGTGTTTTTGAAATGGTACAGAAAATCAAAATAAATTAATAATACAATATTATACGCTTATTTAATAACACAAGGTTTACAGGGATTTTGGCAAATATAGAAAAATCATCCTAGTCTGTTAAACATTTTTACTATCTCAATTGTTTAAGTTACCAGAATATTAGTGATTGTGTCATCTCATATATGAGGAAGTGATATTTTAAGGGCTTAACAAAGCTGCACTTGACACAAAGGTAACTTCACTGAAGGGAATAAAGAACAGAGGCAATATTATCATCATCATCACAGTTCAAGAAGTGGTTGTCCTGC